CACCTGAGATAAAATATATGCATGTTCAATAACTATTATTGCATAAGTATAAACATTAAGCACTCATATTCTAAATAACAAACTTGGACACTGAGTACTGTATGTGCCAAGCTGAATTTGTTTGAGGGGTGCACACATCACATTACAAAGCAACACAGTCCTACAAAATAGATATCTGCCTCAAGCCTATACATATATGATATTATAGCATCTTCAAGTAGGCCACCATCTATCAACCAGTAAACACATCTATTTTCCCTATTAAAACTGCTAAATGAAACAGAACTAATTACCAGTGATAACAGCATTTTTCACCCCACCCCCCCCTAAGAGCACCCTTATGTCATGTAATTCAAGGTAGAAAATTTTGCATCTTTGAGATGGGATATGGGTGCAGGGCTTATTAATCAGTCATTCTAGTGCTATGCTTCTCCAGACTTGGGGAAAATTTACTAAAGCCACTATTCACCCTCTCTAAGTACTGTCAACAGTATAAAAAAGATGTTTGATTGTGCAGTCCTTCTGGGTTATAATACCATCCACAATTGGCAGAAGTTTCTGATGTTTTCTTCCAATTACACATGGCATTACAACATAGAAGACTCTACACTATACAAACGTTACTGTGAAAACATCAAATCATACAAAATATGACTGCTACAGAAAACTTATTCCTCTCACTGAAAAATTAACACAACAGCTCATAATCACAACACAACATAATCATCATACAGAATTAGTCACAGAAAATTATTATGACAATTCCAGTTAGAAGTTGCATTAAGTTTATGTGTGATATAATCTCATAAGAAAGAAGCTTAATATAAATTGTGAATAGTATTTAATGAACACGTTTACAATTAGAGACTTAGACCTAAACAGTAAATCCTAGTGCTGAGCATATGTTTCAGTCCTCAATGCTGTATCCCTTCACTGTTACAAAATTCAGGCACAGGATCATATACAAATTACAAATTACTCAACCCACACTATTTTATCTTCATACATTACATCAATCCAGCAGGCTTCTTAGAAAATGCAGGGCATAAACTGCAGATACAAATTTCTCCCATATGAGAGCTGTTTGTCATCATTTCCTATAATTTACAGAGTGTTCAGCATACATTTCAAGATTGCATTCTCTTGTGCTTTTGTTGTTGTTATTGTTAATTTTGAATATTCTGAGCTAAGAAAAATTACTGGATAAGGTTCCAATGATGATAATCACAAAATAGATGATAATTAATATCCATGTCTCTTGCATAACATGTTCCACTGTGGAAACAGACATAATGTAATAAAACTCAAAACAACAAATTGAACTAGACATGTCAGTTATATACAGAACTAAGGAAGCATATGCAGAAAGCCACAATAAGTATTTAGTGAACTTAAGTTGTTGTTGTTGTTGTTGTTGTTGTTGTTGGATAATTATGAAATACTTACACAGATCTAGATGCACATCCTGTGAATAATGTTCCAGAAGGAACTATGTAACATAATACCAGCATGTAACATCTGTTACAGGTTTAGAAAAAGTTTGGTTAACTCAATAATTAATAATAAAAAAAGAAATATATGCAATGAAATAGACTATAACAGAAGTACAGAAAGAGACAAACAAACAACACAAAGAAAGAAAGAAAAGAGAAGAGAAGAGCTGGTGCCAGAATTAAATTCAAATTTATGTCAAAGTGACATCATTTCCATTTCTGGAAGATTTCACAGACATTATATTCTACAGTGATAATCATAAGAAAAGATTTACAGTGATATTTCATATTTAAGGCGGGTAATTTCAAATGCATCTTCTGCATATAGTGGTCCACTGATCAATATTCCTTTTTACTAACTGTTGCTGCTCAGTTATGTCCATGATTTATCTATTAAAGACGTCTGTTTTAGAAATAAACCATGGTTCAGATATTAATTCATAATTCAAAGAACAGGAATCATAGTCATATGCATTACCATCTACATTTAAAATAAGAAAGAGAATTCCTTATCCTGTTCCAAATATGCACATTATAGTACACTAGATAGTAATCGGGCCAGGTTTGGAAATTCTCAATTTTCACAGCAAATCCATCTTCTCTGACCTGCAAGAAATATAGCTTCTGAGAATAATTATTTCTGTATGAACACATAAGAATGTGCAAAAAATTATATAACAGCATTCCAAACTAGTGTAACACAAGCTCAATAAATTGATATACTAAGCAGTGAAAAGTACAGATCAGGCGCTTTTACTGATTATAATTATATTATAATCAGTCTGAGTGGTAAGTATATGTGAGGGGACACAAGGAAATAAATCTGAAAAGCATCTGAAGGATTCTGCTCAAAACCAACTACTTATAACAACAAATTTAAGTTCCTAACCAAAACTAATTAAATCTGTGTTGAAAATCTGTACTAAATACAATCTATTCATCATTAATAATGAGAACTGTACTATGCAGTCACCTGGAAGCATTCCAAACATTACTCAGCCACTCAGGCTGGGGAGACATATTATCCTTACAACAATTCAGGCTGTACAGATTCATACTTGTCACAAACTAGAACCCCAGCCCCCCAGCCTACATTATAATTTCTCTTTGGTACTACAATAAATGATTTAACCACCATAATGAACCAAGCTTGCATACTGTCCAACTATTGCTGTCTTACAGGTTCAATTTGAAAAGATTTGTGACAGTTTGTTTTGACGTTTGATCTCCTGTGCAAGAGTTTCTCGAGTAGAATGTTCAAGCCTAGAAACAATTTCATCCATTTTCTCTTGAATGAACATTTGGCACTTTTGACTCGGCTCTTTTATTGCTCAACATCAACCTGCCATGTCTTATTTTATATTTTTGTTTTAATTAGGTTTTCTATTTGGAACTGCAACATCCTGAAACTCGCACTGAAATCTTCTGCCTACTTTTTTAAAACAGCCACTTTCCTTATATATATTACACATGAAAACTCAATGTTCCAATGTTTGCCTCACACATCATACATGAAAACTCACTTTTCCACTGTTTGTCTCACATGGCATAATTTGATACAAGAAGTAATGTGACTGGTTGAATGTTTATGCTTAATCAGAGCTGCTCAATGATTTATTGGGATGACATTAAAAAAATGTAACATCTACAGACTCTTTGTCTGTTAAGGCCAAACCATCTGTCTCACTTGCCTGAGTGGGCAAAACATTTTTGGAATAGATCTCACATTGCATTGCATAATGCACCACTGACTGAATGCAATATACAGGAAACTCCAGAGGTAACAATGAGTAAACTGTAGGTCTGTATTACGTGTACTTATTGCTGTTATAAGTACTTACAACAAAATTTTTCTCAGATTTTTTTTAAGCATGCAACTTTCATTTGTCTTTTAAATGCCATTTGAGAAACTTTGCAAGTGACCCAGAAATAAAAGTACTGAAGAAAAGAAGCATGGATATTTTGTCATAGGTCAAGTAACTTGAATTTATCATTTTCTAGGTCAACAGCAAAAATCTCATTTTCTTTACACATGTTCTTCTTTTGTTTGTTTTGTAACAAAACTAAGTCATGTCCAACAAGAGTGTAATTCACAGATGGTTGTAAAAGAAACAAACAGACAAATGGGTTTATTAACAAATTTTAATAAATAAATTTCTGATACTGTGATGTGAAGACAAGTGAAATTACTAGGAAGTACATCCAGCTTCATTAGGCCCCCCATCATTATCCATTAGAATTATCATAAAACGATTACCGTATTTACGCATGTATAGGCCGCGTGCGTGTATAGGCCGCAGCACAATTTTCAGACAGAAATTATAGAAAAAATAATTTTCTTGGAATATTATTTCAGGAGTATTACACCCTGTATTACTAATTATGAATATAATTTTTTTTAAATGAAGTGTGATTTAGAATATTTCGAATATAAGCCGCACCCCAGTTTTCCTCTTGAATTTTTGGCAAAAAATGTGCGGCCTATACATGCGTAAATACGGTATGTCTCACTGTGACACTGCTCCTGGTGAAATAAACTGTGAGCTGCTAACAGACAGTAAGCAGCATTATGTACTATTTTTCTATCAAATTTATTTTCTGAATGTACTCAAACTGTCTATGGAGCTTTCCCTAATTCTGTTTTGCTTCTCAGTCCCACACAAGGTATGATCAATGCCATGGCTGGCATTCTACAATGGATGCATGTAATGGATAGAATAATGAGGCAAATAAGAACCAGTTCTTCCACATGGCTTAGCTTCTTACCAGTGTAGGTTTCATGTGAATACAACAAGAACCTATTATAAAAACGGTTATGGTGTTTATCATCTGTTAAAATAGACTTTACCTGTATATCCATAACATGTAACTGAAAAGATGACCAAAAGTAATTTCTCTGTATGGTGCAAAAGGACACACTGTGTATTTAAAAAATGTCAGTGATGCCTGTGTCATTGTCATGCCTGGCTGTGTGAGTAAGTTGCGGCACAGTACATCCTTCAAGATCGAAGGTTCAAGAGTTGGAGCGGAAGTGCACATTGCTTGCCTTGGAAAGTGTCTTTCATAAAGTAAAACCAAGTACTTTCAGAATTGCTATTAGCCACCCTGGCAGGTAAGTAACACTATTCATGTGAATAAATCAGGAGAAGTGGCATGTCTTTCCATTGGATATGAAAGGCATAATTTGAATAGTATGCCTTTCAGTGTATATCAGACGTGAAATCTAAAATATGAACGAATGACACACATTTCCAGTGCAGGGAAGATATGAAAAAGGTAATAAGAATGGTGTGCCTTACCAGCAGATAAATGTGAAAGATCCGATATCAGCAACATGTCTTATCAGCAGATGAGATATGAAAGACATAATATGATTCGCATTCCTTTCCAGTGGACACAAGTGAAGGATACAGTATGAAAAGCATGCCTTTTGAGTGGATAGAAGATGTGTGAGATACACTATGAACAACATATTCTATTCACCATAACTTTTCCCACTTGCTACTAACACAAGATGTGATACAGAAAATTTTTATATAAATTTTAATTCTGTCATAATTCGCTGATTACTTTTTAATTGCTGATTATTTTCTTCAACTACTCAAACAACATAATACACTGATTTGTTTAAAAAAACAAGATGCAATATTTGACTTCAAATATTATACTGGCATTAATTTTTCACGTTCATTCACATATATTTTTTATCACTTATTAAAAAAGTTTACTTATTGACCTCAGAATCCATTTTAGTTTCAACAAATCTGCCACAGGTCTCTGTTTTCCTTGCTTAATTGGAAGCTACACTGAACAAAATTTCTTTCGTTTCAGACAAATTATTTTTCTCACTGATTAGCTGATTAATGGTAAATGATAAACTAAATGTTTTAATCATTATAGAGCCTTAACAAATTTACAATTCTTCATTTCTTTTAAAAAACATTCACCTCACGCTTTGCTTTTCTACGATAGTGAACTTCATAACAGGCCAGATAATGTGAAGGACTGATCCAATAAATGTTACGACACAACTATCACACAGCCAGCTACATATTTTGTCTGAGCTTAGTGCAAATATTTCAGCACCTTTTGTATTTATACAGAAGTTAAACTGTAATAAAATCATCCATAACATGTGTTTTAATCTGGAAAGCTTTTCAGCAAATGGCAACTCAGTTACTACAAATGTCAACAACTGTGTGGTACATTACAATTCATTCATTGAAAATAATTCCATAACACAATACTTGCAGCAACTTAACCCAGTACACTGCAGTTTTTTCTCATCAATTTAGGGAGTGCTATGCTAGATAACCAGTTGCAATTATCAGCCAGGATGTGTGATTTTCCTCAATCTTTCCATGTGATTGCTGGTAAAATGCCTTAAAACATTTGACCGGTAGTTCCTAATTCTCTTAATAATCATCATGCTTATGCAGTAAATGTCCCCATGCAATTTAAAGGCAAGAAACCTCACTTAATTTACTGCTATATTAGCCAGACTGATTCGTATCCAGTAATTTACCAGCAATGACCATAGATCACATAAGTCACTAAAGCAGTGTTGCTTTTTATGCGAGAACACAAAATTTACTTCCTTCTGTGAAGTCTTGTATGCCATTTTATATGGTGTTACATAAGAACAAAATGTATACAATATAATCTTCAAAAAAATTAACATACAATTATTGCATTATTTTGCAGAAGTGTTATTAAATGATAGTTCCTTCTTATCTATCGTGGTGACTTCCCAGAGCCCCATTTCTAAACAAAAAAAAATTACTGCACCTATATAAAACCCTGCAGCCTCCAATATAACACAGGAATAGCACATCACAAAATAATTACAATTCAGATCAGTATTCCATATCTGCACATTGAATTTTCACTATGAATAATGTCTACATATTACTGCTTTTGTATTGTATTTTAATGTTAAAATTAAATCACATCTTCTCTTACGTGATGCAAATAATTTCAATTTAGATCCAGTATAAATAATAACAACAAAATTCGTTTGTATTTTAGCTTGTTTTCATGCCAAAACTGAAGATCACACACCCCCACAAACTCCTTCATTTTATCCAGTTTCCTTTCACTCTCATCCTCACTTCAAGGTTCTTGCATGTAGCTGCTTGAGCAATTCCCTCAATCAAATGTGAGGTATCATTTTATATACTATTCTTATTACACAAGTGAAGGATTTCAAACTTCCTTTATACATTAATGTATATAATTAATATAATTAATCTTTAATATATGTGTATATGAGCTTCATATAATAAATACTAGTATTCAAACATAAGGCAGAAATAAAGACAGGATATCCCAACATAACTTAACACATAAAGCTAAATTTTTCAAATATGTGACAAATTAATTCTTGGAAGTCTATGTCAACTGAATGGAAATCCAGTTGTTACTTCAGCTCTCCACAGAAATATGCCAGTAACCATTTTTAAAAATATACTATCACAGAGGAACATACGTGATATTTGTTTTCAGTGTTTGTTGTGATCAATTCTCTGTTTGTTGAAGACTTAAGTACCACTCCATATGTCATGGTATTTAAAACAAACAGTAAACTAATGATTATTTGGAAGGATGTTGCAACTTACTTCTGGAACAAGAATCATGAAGTGAAACATCAGATTACTGCACTTTTTACAACATGAAAGAATGTTTTAATTCCATAGAGTTAATGAACTTCAGAATACACTGGTACCTGTAAGTGCGGATGTGTGTGGATTACATTATATATATTTTTTTAGAGCATTAATATAAATTTTCCTTCATAAATATCCACTGCATGTTAACATCTTTTTTGAAGTGCCATTTGCTTACAAGAGTCATTTAGGTAGCATATTTTGCATCTAACAGAAGTGACAAAATTGTCATCCATTTACATTAGAAAACTATTTCTTAGATGTCGACTTGAGACACGGAAGTTTCAGTACTCAGCTGTTTTCATGGAAGTATCAAAATTAAAGTGTCAGTCAGGTTTATTATTGGTACAAGATCTGGAAGTGCTGAAGAGGTGGTGGAAGTAACAAAACCAAAATTGGATTTAACTGGAAAACGCTATAAAAGCACCGATTAAATTGTAGCTCAGTATTCTTATAACATGATGGAGACAACTCACTGAAATATATATATAAAAAACAATTCTTTGAGAGCAACAAAAGCCTATAGAACATATATACAAAGTTAATAATATGTATAACTTGATACTGAAAGCCCTAGTGAGTCAATTTCCCAACTACCAGTATCACTATAAATATGCAACATCACTCTTCTGGCAGGTGGACTCCCTTAAAAGGCAGTGTTTTATTCTGACTAATGAATGAATTCTTCATAATACTAAGGGACTTGCCACAGTCTGTGCACCACAAAGCATACAACCACTGGGAGAATTAACTGTAACAAGATAACCGAAGTTTTGGTCTTAAGCAAATAAGTCCACATGATGGTTGTTTTCTTCTTTAACTAACAACTAATGACATAGGTAAAGTAGACTTCAACAAGTCTGCTAGGCACTGGTTACAATAGTTCTCACTAATTTCAACTTCCTGCATAACTAAATGTCACAACATTTATTGGAAGTGAACATATATCACAGAATAACTCCATCTGTTTTCGTACTTCTGAAGTATTTTCATTTCTCATGTTCCTAACAGTATCACTGTGATACAGTATAATACACATTCCATCATAATGGTCATAACCCCCAGTAGTTACTATCAAATTCCTATCAAAATTAATCACAGAATACTTCATCAAGAAGTCTGTCAAACTTCTTCTCCATCCAACTCAGCAAATTCACGAACAACGGCAGTGGCAAACCGCAGCCGGTCATAAATATTTGCCTCACAGCTGAATTGTGTGATATGGGCTAACCAATATGAACAACTCAGACGATCACCATTAATGTATGTCACCATGTAGCCATGTTTCTCTGCAGAAATTATCACCTTTGTGTGATCCTTGAAGAAGTTTATCTGAAAACCAGCCAGAGAAGCACACATGAAACATCATCAACCCACAGATCTGACTAAACTGACCTTTTTTTTTTATATATTTTATAAGTCTCTTGTACTGCAGCCACTTCTGGCCTATTGTACCAGCCCCAGATGATAGGTGGGGGTGACTGTGGAGCAACTGGTGGAATGAAGATTGGCAGGGGAAACCGAAGTACTCAGAGAAAACCTGCCCCAGCACCACTTTGTCCATCACAAATCCCACTTGACCAGACCGGGAATCGAACCCAGGCCGCCGCGGTGGGAAGCCAGCGACTAACCGCTTGAGCTATGGCGCAGCCAACTGACCTTCTTAGTAAAGTGTCTTCTCTGAGGTTGCATGGAGAATACACAAACTATGCATTTAGCGTTCTACTTGATGGCAATAACTAACTAATAATTGGGGTTTGGAATGTGACAAACATGATATATTGAGATCATAAACATATATATCATATACTTTTTTATTAAGCATTTTATTCTAATTTTAAGTAATTCAAATGTGGTGAAATATTGAACTCACCCCTGTGCATTTCACACAGTAAAAATAAAAAATAAAGCTATCCCTGTAATAGGCCGTGAAGGCCCATAGGGTTGTGAGATGTTGAGGGTCCCACATTATCTAGACAATCAGCTCAAAGATGGCGGTAAGGTTGTCAGCCTTACAACCCAGCCATGCTTTACTCCCCAGGAAAAGTATTTAATTAATTCCTGATACTCATTTCTGTTAGAGGCTGAGTCGACCCCACGGCCATAGTGCGGCTGGAAGGATTAGGTCAACTGAAAAAATCCAAGGACCTCATCGGGACTTGAACCCGCGACCTTCCGACTTGTAGCATAGTGTCTCAACCACCACACTACCACATGCCGCATTTCACACAGAATGAATCTATAACAATTTGGGGGAGGAGGACAATGAAATAGACAACTAAGTGCATTTCATGTACCAGTAATATTTCTGACAACCTCTTCATAGATAAAAGCATTTGAAGCAAAATATGCATCATAAGTTATTTCCAGGATTTCTTGTTTCTGAAATCCAATGAGAATGACGCTGGGTCACAACTTCAATATATTCTGAAGAGCTAAAATTGTATTTTAAATTTTGGTACTGCTATTATATGAACTTCAACGTTAAATTTCCCTTCTCTTTGAAACCATCTCTCCCCTCATTCATCCAGCATTCACTGAACCACTCTGTTACTGCCCAACATTCAACGTACCTGCAAGGTCCCATTGCAGAGTTCCATGATGATAGCAGTGTTGGTGCGAACCCAGCGTTTCATATGAGGGACAGCTGATTTATGTCTATTGGTTACAGCCACTTGAGGCTGGTGTTTAATGTCACCTCCCTCTGTTAAGTGCTCGTCCATGTACTGACTGAAGTGTCGCAGTAATGTTAACCGTTCATGGAGTGGTGCAGGTACAGAATTATGTGGGTGGGCAGTCACCTTCCCATGCATATCATGAAATTCCACACGACTGTAAACACATATTTAATATTTTTGTTTGGAAATCATATTAACACTTAAGTCTTGATTCCAGTAGACTATGGACTTAGTTCAAATTCCTTGAAATGAACTTCAGTATTTGATGCTATGCAGTCTAGTAGTTAGTCTCCTCCAAAACACTGATACTTGTCAAATTAAATGGAATAACATCCCAGACAATTGTAATCTTAATATTCACTGCTGCAAGAACCTCAAATATCAGGTATTTATATGTATATGCTATCAGCATAAAAAGTTTAAGAAGAACTGGGTCCTCAAAATTTTCATGTATGGAGATTTTAATGTAGTTTATTAGAGCAATATTTTATTCCATCACCACAATAGGTAGCATGCAGACCCCATATAGTTGTCGTCTCTTACAACATGTTTCAGCTCATTAAGCCATTATGAGATATTTGACCTTTCTTTTACATTCAGCTGTATTCGTCTGCTAGTATTCCTACATTGGCCAGTGTTTACATATTGGAATACTGGCTTTTAGTAGTACATAATGCTGTTATAGGTATATAAGAAGGTTTGTTCATCTGTAAGATTAAATAATATTTCACCTCGAACAAATACTTCAATAGAAGTATTTTAACAAATATTATTTAGAAAGCAGTCTTCTGGGATTTCGCACCGTGTATATGTGGTGTTAACCGACGTTTTGGAGGAACATATCGCCTCCATCTTCAGGGTAGAAGCAGCTGCTTGTACTGGATCTCACGGTCTCTTCACCTGCGGATTTCTTGTATTTTTCCTTCTACCCTGAAGACGGAGGCGATACGTTCCTCCGAAACGTCGGTTAACACCACATATACACGGTGCCAAATCCCAGAAGACTGCTTTCTAAATAATATTTGTTAAAATACTTCTATTGAAGTATTTGTTCGAGGTGCCTACTGGTTTGGAATGTGACACATTTTTTATGAGAATACACATGTTTTTGTTTATATGCTGGGGAAGCAGCGTTTTTTTACTTTGTATTGATGTAGTATGTGTTTTGTTTGCTTGTAAATATATGATTTCCTTTTATCTTTGTGTTCCTGAAAATATAATGCTTTCTTTATACATAACTGCATGATTTTTGGAGTTAAATATTGAGATTTGGTGTTAGAATTGTATTTTGGAGAAGTCTTTGTGATGTTTGTGAAATTGATGTTAGGAAGTCTGGTGTTTACTTGTTAACATGATGTTTGTATAGGGTATCAAATTTTGGGTTTTGAAGGTCAAACAATATTTCATTCATTTCAATGTTCTGTTGGCATGTACAGTAAATATGAAATTTCTCTAAATTGATCATGTGTTTGCCTTTTCTTGCTAACTGAATTACTTCCACAGTGCTTTGCAAATTTCCAGGTATCTGTATCTAATATGTGTTTTGCATAGGTGGATGTGCCATTGTTAGGTTTTATTGCATGCATACGTTCATTGTGTCTGGTTCGGAATGATCATCCTCTCTAACCTATACATGGTCTGTCCAAAAAGTTTCAGAACTTTTGAAATAGCGTGCCAATTTGAAGTCTTAGCGATGTCAGGCTAGCTGTGCTTTCTAGTGGCATGCTTCCAAATTATCATCCTTTTTGCCACATAATCCTGCTGTGATTAATCATTGAACTAGAGCCTTCTGTTCATGTGCATGTAAAGCATGTCTTGTGATATTCAAGATGGCTGATATTTAAGAGCATGAAAGTCATGTTGACGGTTTCTTGACATCGAGGGTGTTGTACATTATGAATTCTAAGTTAGGGGCAAACAGTGAATCACTGGTATTATCTCAAAGTGCTGAGACATTTAAGAGAAAATGTCAGGAGAAAAAGATCTCAGTTGTGGAGAACAAACTCCTGGTTCCTCCATCATATCAATGCGTCAGCTCATGCATCACTAGTGATTAGTGACTTTTTGGTCAACACAAACACAACTGTCCTTCCTCAGCCACCCTACTCACCTGACCTCACTCTAACAGACCTGAAATCATGAATCAGTAGCGATGCATGAGCTGGCACATTGTTAAGACTGAGGAACCACAGGTTTTTCTCCACAACTGAGGTCTTTTTCTCCTGATATTTTCTCTCAGATGTTTCAGCACTTCAAGATAATACCACTGATTTAATGTTTGCCTCTGATGTAAGAATTCATGATGCACAACATCCTTGATGTCAAATAAAAATCATCAACATGTCTTTCACATTCATGAATATCAGCCATCTCAAATATTGCAAGACACACTCTACATGCATGTGAACAAATAGCTTTAGGGCAATGATTAATCACAGTAGGATGATGCAGCAGGAAGGATGATAATTAGGAAGCATGCCACTAGGCAGCACAACTTATCTGACATTGATAAAATATCGAGTTGGCGTGTTATTTCAAAAGTTCCAAAACTTTTTGAACAGACCACATATATTGCAAGGGGAAATCTAATAAATTATGTTTATATAAAATATTACTGTCATACTTACTACTTTTCTGTGGTTTTCTCATGGTGATTCTCATAAAAATAAGTGTTCACATTCCACACCAGGAGGAACTCCAAAGAAATATATCAGTAGAAGAGACACAGCTACACACAACTACTACATTCAGATAAAACATAAGAAAAATTTTTATATATTTCTAATTTTAATGATTTATTTTAACAATTAATATTTAATCTTACAGATGACCACATCTTCTAAAATGTAATGGCATTACATACTACTGAACAACCACTACTCATAATGTTGTATTTTAGCATCCTGTTGCACTGATGAACATCCATAATGTGTATATATTTACTGTCTTTTAGTGCATACAATTTCACTTGTCACTTCACACTACATGTTTCGGCATCATTCTGCCATCCTCAGGTGTAGCAATCACGTTAAACCATTGCACTGCCTGCCATCAAGTGTCCATTTATAAAATGATATAAAATGTGTGTTCATCGTTGTTCAATAATAAAATTTATATTTTAAAACTTGTTAAGATCTATCATCTTACATGTCGTATATCAAACTCGTGTGTAATGACATTCATCCGCTATGGGAGTCGTTCTTCTTATATTTTAATTGTGTATATACCGTGTCTTATGATGTGTCTTTCTTATGTGGCTGCATGCGTTGTATGTAATGTAGAAACATGTAGTGTGAAGTGACAAGTGAAATTGTATGCACTAAAAGATGGTTAATATATACACATTATGGAAACCAGTATTCAAATACATAAACACTGGCCAGCAGACAAATATAGGTGAATGTAAAAAAGTCAAATACCTGCTAATGGCTTAATGAACCAAATCATGTTGTAAGAAACAACAAATGTATGGCGTGTCCATACTGCCTATTATGGTAACAGAATAAAATAAAAAAATTTCACACACAAATAAGACTTTTTTTTTAATTATCCCTGTAACAGGCCATAAAGGACGATAGGGTTGTGGGGCATCAAGGCTCCCACATTTTCTCTAGACAGCTCACAGATGGCAGTAAGGTTGTCAGCCTTACATGCCATCCGCCCTTTGACGCCCAGGAAGATTCCTGATACTCATTTCTGTTAGAGACTGAATCGACACCAGGGCCATAGTGCGGCTGGAAGAATTAAGTAAATTGAAAAAGTCCACCTCATTGAGACTGGAACCTGTGACCTTCCAGCTTGTAGCATAGTGCCTCAACCAATTATGCTACCACGTTCACCCCAATAAGACATTAAGATAATATTTTTAACTTGCTTCTATCTTAATGTAAGCATTTCTCATTCCTGCTTTCCTCAGACTAAAATACCAGAAGCCTAAATATCTTATCTCCAAAAGTTAACATGGCCTGAAAGACTGACCCATGAAACCTTATTAGTCCTCTGCTTCACTGAATTTGCTTTCAACTTTCAATACTCACCTGCGGTCAGGAGTAAAGCTGATACGTGTACTATCATTAAAGAGGACACCAACTGATTTGTCAGATAACTGGAATCCAAACCCATACTTATTTGAATAATCAATCCATTTTGACACAAAGAGGGGTGCTACTGTAGCAACAGGTGGTGGATTTCCTGGAAATGAAAGATATTTCAATTTGCACATCTGCTGCATAAGTAATGAAACAACTACCTTCCAGTTTACAAATCAGACCTCTCATATGAAGGTCTCCATGTTTTAACTTGCCACTGTGAACATTTTTTGGCAATGAGTGGAAAGCTATTGTATAATATAAATTAGCTACTGATTGCAAATCCTGAGACCTTCTTGGGGAGATTATAGCTTTTCATCTGTAGAAGAAATTTCTTCTGGAACCCAAAACATCTTTACCAACATCACAAAACACAATTACCACGTTATTCTTCATTTATGCTGCGAGTGGAAAAAAACATGCACTTCTCTTCCATGTGTGCTATATGCTCTGGTAATCTCATCCTTTTTAATTTGATCATTCTCATGATATTTGGGAGAGTACAAATTGTGACACTCCTCAATATGCAAATATCCTCCAGTCTCCTTCTCATCCCTCTCAGGTTCTGATATTTTCAGCACTCCATTTCAGACACCCTCAGTCTATGTCCTTCCCTTAATGTGAGAGACAAAGTTACACATTGATACAAAACTATAGATAAAATAATAGTTTTGTATACTTAACTCTCTATGTCTTTAGACAGTAGGTAGGAAGACAAGATTCTGAATGGAATGATAGCAAGCATTCCCCATACTTAACATTTCCTTAATTTCTTCATGAATTCATTTTTGATTTGTTGGTGTTATTCTAAAACATTTACAACTTTTCTACATTTTCAGAGGATTTATTAGCTATCTTTGTGTTATGATTCTTGTCCTGCACCCTGGTGATGAGGCAACAATACATTGTGACAGGATGTTTACAGTCCATAAGTGGCAGCAGGAATATCAAGGGATCACCATGTCTAGACACTGTCATATCACTGGCTGTGTCCCAGAAATAGAATGCAGGCAGCAGCTGCAAATCACGGGAAGCACCTTTGCAGGGGTATATAAGGGGGGTCCATGTTAGCTGGGTCCCTTGTCACCACAGAATAGCACGTCCTAAGGTTGTGGATGGAGGAGACAACTACCAGATATGGAGGGTAGCTGCAAGTATAGTGAATAATCAATCATGGACAGCTGACAAGGGGTGGTCCTTCAGCTTTGGTGTTGGGAATGGGACTAACTATTCCTCACTGCAAAAAATAGGCTTGTTATGAAAGATCACAAGAAGCCTTGGACCTGGAGAGACTCTTTGGATAAACAACCTAAGTGAAAGAAAATGGATATGAGATTTGGTGCTTGGAATGTTAGAAGTATGTACAGGACAAGTTCACTCAGGGCAGTGGTGGAAGAAATCTAAAAATATAAGTTAGATTTAGCGGCAGTATAGGAGGTCAAATGGGATGGAGGTGGCACCGAACCAGCAGGTGANGAAACGTCGGTTAACACCACATATACACGGTGCCAAATCCCAGAAGACTGCTTTCTTCATAGTCACCGCCGTGAAAGCCTCAAATCTTACAGGTGAATATACATTTTTCTATGGAAAGGGGAATGAAAATCATGAATTATGTACAGGTTTTTTTGTACAGAAGAGAATCATATCAGCATTTAAAAGGGTAGAGTTTGTTAGTCATAGGATGTCATACATAATGAGGTCGCTGGTGTCATATCACCATTCTGAATGTTCATGACCCAACAGGAGATAAAATTTATGATATGAAGGACAGGATCTATGAAGAATTAGAATGTGTTTTCAATAAATTCCCTAAACACCACAAGAACATTTTGTTAGGATATTTCAATGCCAAAGTAGGTAAGGAAGACATTTTCAAATTAATTTCCAATGAATTTTTAGACAATATTAGTAAAGTAATGGATTTAGAGTAGTAAACTTTGTCACATCAAAAATCTTATTGTCAAAACTATGATGTTCCCACACTGTAACATTTCAAATTTATAAATTCACTTGGACATCTCCTGATGGAAAGATTCACTATCAAATTGAGAATATTTTTATAGATAGGAGGCAGCATTCAAGTATACTTGATGCCTGATCATTCAGGGCAGCAGACTGTGATAGTGACCACTACCTGGTGATGGCAAAAGTTAGGGAAGATTGTATGTGAGTAAACAATTAACACACATGTTTCATACGCAGAGGTTCACTCACAAGAAATTAATTGAAGTAGAGGGCAAAGAGCAGTATTGTGTTAAAATCTCAAATAGGTTTGCAGCTTTGGAAAACTCAGATGATGAGATGGATATTAATAGAGCCTGGGAAACTATCAGAGAGAATATCAAAATTTCAGCCAAATAGTGTCTAGGTTATTAAGAACTGAAGAACCATAAGCCATGGTTCAACAAAGGGTGCTCAAAATTATTAGATCAAAGGAAACAAGCCAAACTGCAGCAGATACAAGATCCAAGCAAAATAAATGGGGATAATATGAATAATATAAGATGTGTAGCCAGCAGGCATTTAAGGAATAAAAACAGGGAATATCTGAACAATAAAATTAATGAGCTTTACAGTGCTCAGTAAGATTAAGAATATTACAGACTGACATGGAGGAGTAAATAAATTTATGAAGAGTTACCAACCTAGAAGTAACTTACTGAAAGATGAGAATGGATATGCTTGCAGATTCCCACAATGTTTTGAGTAGATAGAAGAATTATTTCTCTCAGCTACTGAATGTATATGGAGTTAGTGATGCTAGATAAGAACACATACAGCTGAGCCAGTAGAACCTGAGTGTAGTCCTCTTGAGGTCAAATTTGTTATTCCAAAGTTGAAAAGGTATAAATTGCCAGGTAGTGATCAAATTCTGGCAGAACTGATTCAAGCAATAGGTGTAATAATATGTTCTAAGGCCCATAAGCAAACTATTATTTGGAATAGGAAAAAATTGCTTGATCAGTGGAAAGAGTCTATTATCGTACCAGTTCACAGGAAGGGTAATAAAACTGACTGTAGTAATGATTAGGGGATATCACTGCTATCAATCTCGTACAAAGCTTTATCCAATATTCTTCTCTCGAGGTTAAGTCCATATATAGATGAAATTATTGGGGATCATCGGTGTGGGTTTCAATGTAACAGATCAACGGCTGATCAGATTGTTTGCATTTGTCAGATATTGGAGAAAAAATTGGAGTACAATGAGACAGTACATCAGTTATTTGTAGACTTCATGAAAGTGTATGATTCAGATAGGAGGGAAGTATTGTACAATATTCTGTTAGAGTTTGGGATACCCATGAAACTGGTTGCTGATTAAAAGGTATTTAAACGAAACTTACAGCGAAGTCTGTATAGGTAAACATTTGTCTGATAATTTTCCTATCCAGAATGGTATAAAACAAGGAGATGCTTTATCACCATTCCTCTTCAACTTTGATTTAGAATATGTTATTAGGAAGGTCTGGGAAAACCAGGTGGGACTGAAATTAAATGGGACACATCAGCTGTTGGTCTATACTGATGATGTGAATCTACTGGGTGATAATATAGATACCATAAAGAAATACACACAAACTTTAATTGATGCAAGTAAGGAGGTTGGTCTAAAAGTAAACACAGAGAAAACTAAGTATATGTTGCTGTCTCGTCACCAAAATGCAGGGCAAAATCATGACATAAAGATAGGAAACAGATGTTTTGAAAATTTGGCACAGTTCAAATATTTGGGAACAACGATAACATATCAAAACCTGATTCAGGAGGAAATTAAGGGGAGATTGAACTCGGGTAATGCTTGCTACCATTCAGTACAGAACCTTTTGTCTTCTCGTCTGCTGTCTAAAAACATAAAAATTAGAATTACAAAACTATAATTTTGCCTGTGGTTTTGTATGGGTGTGAAACTTGGTCTCTGACATTAAGGGAGGAACATAGACTGAGGGAGTTTGAGAACAGGGTGTTGAAGGGAATATTTGGACTGAAGAGGGATGAAGTGAAAGGAGGTTGGAGAAAACTGCATAATAAGGAGCTTCGTAACTTGTACTCTTGTCCAAAGGATGATCAAGTCAAGGAGGATGAGGTGGGCAGGGCATGTAGCACGAATGGGGAAGATAAGGAATGCATATAGGATATTGGTGGGAAAACCAGAAGGAAAGAGACCACTTGGAAGACCAAGGTGTAGGTGGGTGGACAGTATTAAAATGGATTTTAAAGAGAGATAGGATGGGATTGTATGGATTGAATTGATCTGGCTCTGGATATGGACTAGTGGAGGGCTCTTGTGAACAAAGTAATGAACCTTCAGGTTCCATAAAATGCTGGGAAGTTCTTGAACAGCTGCACAATTTGCAGCTTCATGAGTGTGAGCGATTATCTGCCTAAAAGGGGTTAAGAAAAACTATGAAAAACATCAGTCTGGATAGATGGTGTCTCAGACAAGACTGAAACTGAGAACCTTCCAAATACAAGTCTAGAATGTTGCAACTACCGCAACCAACTCAGCGGTATAATACTAAACTGGTTCTCAGAGAAATGGGATGGGAGGTTGGGGGCTGGAATCATTTGCTCAGAGTAACAGCAAGTGGTGGGCTCCTGTGAATATGGCAATGAACCTTCAGATACAACAAAGTGAGAGGACATTCTTGACTAGCTAAGCAACTAATAACTTGTCAAGAAGGGGTCTGCTCCACAGAATTAGCTATTTAATCAACAGGCAAAGGTAAAAAGGCAAAGTTGTCCCTGTGCTTAACTAATTAAGCACTATGCCATGAAGGCATGTGGGGGAGTGGCTGTATAGATTCACATCTTCTTGACCTTGGCACTAGCTGGAGTTGAGTAGTCAGCTTCATGCCCTGGCCCCTTTATCACTGGGGAAAGAGCCCCCAATACCATTTGAATAGGGGGTCAGGTGGGCCCCAGAGCCAGTCTGGACGACTTGAAGAAGAGAAAATTCTTGACCCAATGGGGACTCAAACTCCGATCCCTCAGTTTTCCAGCCCATAGTCAGTTGCTATACCGACTACAATATTCCAGCTCCTAGTTATTCAATTATTAAAACTGATAAATTACTAACTTCATTAAGCTGATCAACACTGGGAATATTCAGCCTCTACTTGTAACAGTGAAGTCCCTGTTACACTGAATTCCACAACAAATATATTGAGAAGTATATACATTGATATAACAACAAGAATGATGAATGAAAAATACTTCTTACAGTATAACACTTGTTCCAATGATATTCATTAGAATGATACTTCTACTGACATTTGAATGCAAACACAAAAATACAACTCATTGTGCATCAAAACAGGCTCCAAGAAACTGCGAAGATACTCACCAGATGGTGTTGCAGTAGGCATCTTACTAATGCAATCAGACAGAAACCGATACATGGTGGCAGCATTATTAGATCTCTTGCGGCACAATGTCATCTTATCTGGACACAGGACACTGCTTAGCTTTTGCTTCAGAGAGCTTTGACGTAGATCCTTATCTTTGCGTGCAGGTGTTAGAATGCTTCCAGCACCAGGATTACTGCAGGCTGCTTTATCTTTTGGGGAGAACTGAAATTAACAAGAAACATATTTTTATTAAAAGGATCAATCCCTCTGTATGTTTCATGTATCACGCATACTGCTGTAGGATAAAAATTCAACATTACTCAAAGAGTATTGCCACATGTATTATTAGTGACTCTTAATCACACTTAAATACATGCAATACAGCGCTATCGCTGATTTACACACTTTCCAGTTTGCTGTTGTGCATGCACTAAGATTCTCTCTCTTCATTAGTCGTCTCCTAGCAACGGATCTCAACACAGAAACTATCACTTCAAATTGCTACAAATATTACACATAAAATCTTCCAATCACAATTTAAATCCTCCAAGGCCAACCTCCTGTATTCTTCTGTACTCCTGGTTCCACTTCACTCTGTTCATGTGCTTCCACCACTACTATTTCTCTCAGAACTCGTCACTTCTAGTTCCAACTCGATCTCTTCTTGTGATTCCGCTGCAACTATTTCTCTCTCGTAACTCATAACTGTTCTCTGAACCATGTCACACATGATCACATGATCATCATGGGGCACGAGGTAGCGTAGTTGGTTGAGGCACTATGCTACAAGCCGGAAGGTTGCGGGTTCAAGTCCTGATGAGGTCACTGGATTTTTTTCATTTGACCTAATCCTTTCAGCCGCATAATGACCCTGGGGTCGACTCAGCCTCTAACAGAAATGAGTACCGGGAATTAATTAAATAATTTTCCTGGGGAGTAAAGGGCGGCCGGTGCGTAAGGCTGACAACCTTACTGCCACCTTTGAGCCGACTGTCTGGATAATGTGGGGACCCTCAATGCCTCACAACCCTATGGGCCTTCACGGCCTGGTGCAGGGATAGCTTTATTTTTTACTATAGGTGTCATCATAAGTGGGACTCATTAAGCCACTTAATAAGGTGTTAATTTTACCTACCCAGCACTTTCCATTCACTGGAAAGTACATAAAGTGCTAAGCATCAAGTCTCATCTTTATAGTGCAATGGTACTGGTATCAAAATAGTGGAAGGACTAAAGACTTGGAGCTTAAGGGTGATGGGGCATGGGGATGTGGGTTATATCTGATGAACTGCAAATGGAAACAATATTGTGCTTGCTTCTACCTACCTTAGCTATGGTGGTTGGATTCTTCTGTGAGGGAATTTTTAAAGTAGATACAGAGTTCATCAGAGATTTCAGATCTTGACTCAAGACTGGAGCCTGATATATGACTTGGGACTGTGGCTGTGGTGCCCTAAACAGAATTATAAAAGAGTACTATGTCAGTAAAGTGAATAACAGTTGAATTGCTGCTGCAAAGGGTTTTGCACAACATGTATGACAAGAACTCTAAGAAAGTAATACAATAAAATTATAAAGAAATTTGAATAAACCTTCAATTGCCATGCAGGCTAAGTTTAAAAGCCATACTTAAAACCTACAAGAAATAGCTGATGTAACAAGTCAAAACTCTAAACTATAAAATTACACCATTTTTTTGAATATTCATAAACCAGCACCAGGTAACTGAGAAGCTTTGCATACAGTTTAAAAGGTAATTAGAAGTAATTTAGTTTATACATGCAAATATTATTAATTAATAACCCAACACAATGTATACCCATGAAAACAACACGAAAATGTGTTACATATTCATGTTTAAATTTGTAAATAAGTTTTGCTATAAACTGTGTGCATGAGAGTGCACAAGTTATTGAACAGGACTTACACTCTGACAGATTAAAATGATTCACAGTGCAACTAAATATGTATCTATGAAAAATTTGGAATATTTGGTATGAATTCAATTCTGTAAGTTGCTTTTGCTGTAATCTGTTTATATGAAAATGCACAATTATACTTCACTAAATCAGAGTCCTTACACTATTAACTGAATAAGAATTACTAAGTAAGGAATCTGTTGATCATTTTTATTCCATGTGTACATACATATTTCTCAGAGTTTTGTGATGTACAACTCTTTCCTCAAACCAACAGTTTCATTTACATTAGCTTAGTTTAGTTTAGTTTAGTTTAGTTTAGGTTAGTTTAATCAGTTTTGATTAGTTTAGGTTAGTTTCCATTACAAATCCAAAACATTTGTAATAAATAAAGGTCTTGTGATGTAAATAGTTAATTTTCACAGATCTTACAGTAGAACATGTAACTTAGAGATAAGATACAGGACACAGATGGCATACAAAAATTAATGAATAACTGTCCACCAGTGGCATGAAGTGCTGTGCAGGAAGACATATGAAATGGGCATTTTCTTCCACAATACAGAAAGTAAAGAACTGTTAAGTTTATATACGGCACTGCAAAATAGTAACCATGGGATGTTGGTTCTGGTATTTGGAGAGACCACCACATAAATTCCTGATGAATGATAGCAAAATTCCAGCCACATCGGGCTCACTTGTGTAAATGATGGCTGGCCTCCATGTTTAGTAGCCAGTGTCTGAGCTGGCCGTAGAACTTCCCAAGGCTCAAGGAGACCACCTTCAGAGTTGGTTGGCGGTGTTGTTGCCAGGAGGATTGCTACTGCCATGTGCACTCCAGATGCTGTCTTGAAGCAAGAGTAGCTCTGACTAACTAGCATGATGTGGTCCGCATCTTTATCTGCTGCTGCTAGCAGTGCCTGGTCCAATGGGAGTTGGTGCTGCAGTGGTCCACACTGATTGGCTAGTGCTTTCTTCACTCTGTCAGTCGGCCAGAAGTTGGTAGTTGGCCTGTGGTAGGCTCACACATAACATTAAAATAATTAGTGAATGTCATCACTTGAAATCAACCTACCTTGAAAGCAAGGCAGCAGATGCAAATTTTGGCATTGTGTAGCAACAGGAAGGAGAAAGTGTTTCAGGCATATAACCACTTGTGAAAAACTCGTGCTTGCAAATTTCATCAAGTTTAGGTCTCTCTTCAGGCTTTGGCTGCAGGAGCTCACAGATTAATGATCGTGCTTGTTCTGAAGCAAGAGGTGGGAGAGCATACTTATTGCCTACAATGCGGGCATATGTCTCCTTCAGTGTGGCAGTTTCAAAGGGAGGCTGACCAACCAACATTGCATACCTGGCAGGAAAGAACAAGAAAGGAAGTTATATTTTTAATATCTTTACAGAAGAACAACTTTTTTATATAAATGTCTGTATTCCAAGGCTAATGTGACATCAATGGAAGATACAACTGTTCACACATAAAATAAAATCCTCATTTAACATTATCCTGCTTTTAACACAGCATTTCTCTGGTCGTATTTGGTCATCAGCACATCACACTAATAAATCTTACAACCAGGATCAATTTAAAATTTTCCTACTTGAAGTGTTAGAGAAATTCATTCCAAGACCACTTCTATTTGCAAGGAGTGCCAAATTTCATAATGTTTTTAATACTAATTTAGAGACAACACTGGCAATAAGGCTATGTGGGTGGCAGTATAATCATTCAATAAACTGTAGCAAGAAATAGTATACAAATTTAAAAACTAGTGAGGTTTTATTGAATGCCGCAGCTCAGTGATTGGCACTCTTCCTTATACGAGTACTTAGGTGGTTTTAAGTTGATAACAAGCTTGAAAACTGGCTATCCTGAGAGTTTTTTTTGTAGGTTTTTGTAGTCTCTCCAGGGAAATGCTGCCATAGTACTTAAAATGGCTGCTTCCTGCTGTCTTTTCCAATTCATCACTGAAAAACTATCCCACTGCTCAACACTGCTTACAGACTGCATTATTAAATGAGCCAAGTATCAATCCACTGAGACCAAGAACAGAGCACTAAAATGTATATAAATTCCAGCATTATCCAGGTAAGAGACAATGGGTTGGAAAAGAATTTCAGGATTGGCTACTGTTGATGATTTGCAGAAAAGCTATACAGGAAGAAGTGGTGCTGGTGGTGATGGTGGTGATAATGGCAGCAGCAGCAATGGTAGTAGTGATGGTAACGATTATAATGATGTTGACAATGGCTATGATAATGATAATGATTATCATTATCACATTATCATCTAGATGAGGAGATGGCGGTGGTCATAGCAGCAGCAGCAGCAGCAGCAGCAGCAGCAGCAGCAGCAGCAGCAGCAGCAGCAGTAGTAGTAGTAGTAGTAGTAGTGGTAGTGGTAGTGGTAGTAGTAGTAGTAGTAGTAGTAGTAGTAGTAGTAGTAGTAGTAGTAGTAGTAGTAGTAGTGGTAGTGGTAGTGGTAGTGGTAGTAGTAGTAGTAGTGGTGGTGGTGGTAGTGGTAGTGGTAGTGGTAGTAGTAGTAATTGCCACTTAAATATTTGAGAATACAAGTATAAAAACCAAAATATAGCAACTATAATATAAAATTAATATATTAATTTCTTGAGCTGATGTGATTTTGGTTGTGGTGAAATGTTCACAAAGTTAGCTGTAAAACTATCTACCCTAAATGTTACCTAACATTATTAAAGCAACAAACTTTTGAAGCTCTCCTTCCTCTCATAATGAGGAAGTTAAGTATAAATACTACAAATTCTGAGCTTCAATTCAACCCATAAGTCTAGCTTTTCTTTGGCAAGTGTTTAATTACACCTTGCACATAATGATTACAAATGTATAATTACCAACAACGCCAAACTCTGAAGTTCAGAATCCTCAGAAACGCTATAAGGCATGCACCTGTATTTAAAGACACTAATCAGAAAGGGTTCTGTATATATGTTGTTTATGTAACTGCTGTGTGTATGCCAGAAGCCACATTATATTACAGATACGTATAAAACAAGTTCCATGTTCAATTTGCACTTCATGCAGTTGGATTTTGTATGTTAAGAGAGGGCCGCTTGTCACACTGCAACTGATCTGTTTATTACATTACAACTTTCTGACTTAACACTCTAACACAAATTAACCTACAAAAGAACAGCCAACTCTTCAGTTGTAGTGAGAGACTTCCTGCTTTACTTTCAAATTATCATAACAATGTAAATAATTCTCATTCTGACTCAGAAATGAAGACCTCTATTATTAACTAGTATAACAACCTGGCGGAACATACAGGATATCTGGACATATCATAATCTGGACAGTCTTCACGGCAACACCAAAGTTTTGTAAAAATTATTAATTTATTTCACCAATATTTTTGTCCATTGTTCGAGTTACTGTATATTAATTTAATATATGACATTTCACTGGCTCTACTCCCATTATTTAATGTTTTATTTTTAGTTTTAAGAATGGTGGTAATAATTGAGATCAAATATGGGACATTTTGGATATTAGGCTAGTACACTAACACTCCACACTTCTTGGCCAACTGAGGTGGAGATGTCTAGTGGTTAGGATACTAGTCTAGTATATCATTATTAATTTGGACATTCTACATTGTTCTATGTATGCTGCATGTATATGATGCTTTGGAAGTTGATTACATTCCAATATTCACTTAATTATTTGTGATTATAATGGCAGATTTTTGTTAGTTTAAGTTAGCTTAAGTACTTTAAGTGCAATGGAATGAATTAAAACCTTGGACTTGTTGAATACTAGGATAGCATGCAAACCACTAGGCAAGGATCTTCATGGCCGTGCCATAGCTCAAGCGGTTAGTCGCTGACTTCCCACCATGGCTGCCCAGGTTCGATCACAGGTCTGGTCAAGTGGGATTTGTGGTGGATAAAGTGGCGCTGGGACGGGGTTTCTCCGAGCACTTCAGTTTCCCCTGCCAATCTTCATTCCACCAAATTCTCCATCATCATAATCAGCCGGAGCAGGTACAATAGGCCAATCCGTGGCTGCTGTGCTGAGTGGAGCCAGCTGGACTCCACCCCCCACAAAGAAAAAAAAAGAAAGTATTTTCATCTTCTGAAGAAAGTTAATTGTACCCTCAGTTCAGCAGATACCTCATACTTACATGATGCATCCGATTGCCCACACATCAGCTTCATAGCTGTAGCTCAGTTTATTTAGCACTTCTGGTGCTATGTAATTTGGGGTTCCACAGATGGTCCTACAAATCATAAAAAATAATTTAAATTAAGACTAAATATTACTGATACTACAGTGACCTTGAAAGAATGAATAAATTAGTTTCTTGCACTCTAAGTTTTTTCTTTCCATTCCTCAGAAGATGTGTGAACCATTGGTATCTCCAACAGTCTCATGTCCAACTGTGCAACCTTGAATTTAAGAAACTTTTCATCCATAACATCAGATCTATCAGGTATCAGAAGACAACAATTATTGTTATGAATACACAATATTTAAGAGGTCACAAAATACTTAAAAAAAAAGATTCACTTCTCAAACCTTGCCTAGGACACTGACAATACTGGCTGTAATTTCTTGCAGTTTTCCTGAATCCTTCCAGGCAAATACCATGATAGTACCAAAAATTATGTCATGTCCAGTTTGTTCCACATCCCTTCTAATAATTATTCACTATCATATAATCATTCAACACTACAGAGCCTTAGTTATTGGCAACACTGCTAAATGAACTATAAAATATTTACATATAATGTATTCATGAACTGAAGCAAATGATAATTAATAAAAATATTATGATCAATTATTTAATCACAGTTGTTTCCATAAATTCATCAGCTATTAAGATGATGATCACATGAATATAAAGGTCTCAATCTATTTTTGCCACTTTATTCTCGTGGGAATATGCCTGATAGTTCATGCATTCTTTCGTAGCACTTTAAAGCATGGTGGTTACTATAGGTATGGTCTAGTTTAACATTAAAGTTCTCTGAATTCTGCCCACAGGCTGTATTTACATGTTTTCTATGATTCTCAGTGTAAGCAATGGATTACCTCCCTAAACATGATTAAAAGGCCAGTCTTTATAATGGAGAGGCATGGAACCGAAGTTTCATCATGGTCTAATGTTGGTTGGGTTACCTGTGATCTAGGAAATGGAGCTTAAACATTATTCAAAAGAGAATCATACTTCACTGGATTGAACAGTAAATGACTAACCTCAAGCCATTCATTTCTTCTTTTCTTCACATTTACAATTTTTACATTTAAAATATTGATTAAAATATTGATACTTAGACTTAATAGGTTTTTGGACTTTGTCCATCATCTGGTATTCTGAAGAAGTCTGAAGAACACAACACTTCAAAAACTGGATCTGTTTCTGTCCTCAGGTGAGGGAGGGGGTGGCAGAAAATCTGCTCTCTCAGGTCTGTTAGAAGGAGCTAACTTCAATCACTGGATTGAATGGAGTCCAGTGATTGAGGTTAGCTCTTTCTAGCGCACCCAAATATGTTTAAGAAATTACAGTTCTACATGGAAATTTCGAAGTATAATACTTACACCCGCTTGTCACCATCCACCTGCGTTGCCAGGCCAAAGTCACCAACTTTGACGACCATGTCCTCACCAAGGAACATGTTACCTGGTTTGAGATCACGATGTATCACACGTTGACTGTGAATGTAGCTTACACCTGTTACAAGCTGACACAGGTAGTATCGCACCTCAGGCTCCGTTATGACATTTCGGTGCTTCAGAACATGTACCAATGACTGAAAGTGCAAAAATTATTTCAATTTTTAGCTTTTTTCATTGAATTCTGACTGACTATATTAGCTTGCATGAAGTGTCACCTAAGGGGGCAGAACCTAGCTATGTTAATTTTTTAGGCAAATGAAATTCTATAGCAGAGCAATCTAACTTAAAACCACTAAGGGGCCACAGTGAACCATAGAGACCTATTCATGAGCCACATTATAAAAATATAATCTTTTCCAGTATACCAATACAAATATCTGCCAAATCAATGGTACTGAAAATCAGCCACTAAATGTTTGCTAGATTGTACTGACATTGCATAAAATTATGGAATCATATTAATTCATTAATTCTCTAGTTATTTATTAGGTGTCTCTAAAATCAGTTGAAAAGTGTGTGAAATATTTAGTATGCAGGTTTCATAAAATTTATCTTTACTTGGGGGGGGGGACCACAATATAAATCTTCATTGCTGTGAAAACGTAAAATAATTAAATGTTTAATCATTGCCTTAAAAACTGACATAAAAATGTGTACTGCGAAAATATGACAAAATTGCAGAAACAGTTACTAGTAAAAGTAAAGAAATAAATACTTCAAATGTATATATTTTCACATTATTTGAATGGAAAATATTTTTAGAATAATAAAAGCAATATTGCAATTTCAAAAGTTTAACTGAACTGTTATATGCATAATTAGTATCTTATGCCAGTATTTAATATTCTTCAGTTGAAGGTTATGTCTTTCTCAATTCCTGCACTGGCAAGTCTTCCTGCATCATCATTTAATGAAGCTTTAATTCAAAGCTTTCTTATTTTATAACTATGGTTGTGTCTTCCAAACAAACTAACCTTCCTTGAGCAGTTTTCAAGAATGATGTATGCATTCACAGTATCTTCAAAGAAATGATGAAGCCTCACAACATTTTTGTGTACAAGGTTCTGATGTATCAGTATCTCCCGTGCAATCTGAAATAAAAAAAGTATCTATGCATGTAGTTTTATAATTACATAAATATTTCATGGTTTGAAGCTCCTATTTCAGGCCATAAAATATTTCTTTACTTACAAAGTGCTGTCAATAAAAAACACATGCAATAAGTTCTGTGTTGACAACACTGTTTCAGCTTGAAAGTGTATGTGACACTAAGAGGTGGAAATGGCTTCTCAGAGCTAGGCAGACATTCCAGAGCAACAGAAAAGACCAGTGGAATGACCAAAACATATTATAAAGTAAATTATTACAATGCAGGTTTGAGAATTCATTACTATGCATGTTATTGCTGGTAACAATAGTTGATGGTGTCTTACAGCACTGGAAATAGTTTTGTTTAAGAAAAGGGTTCTGGAATTAAGCAAATACCCTCTACCCAAATCCATGCACATTTCCACCTTATGTAGTACTACATAAATTCACATTAATATTAGTTTAAATTGGCTGTTACAAGACCACCATAAGTTTCAAGCTGTTCAAAAACTGCAGCACAAGAACTTTTGCACTCACACTGTTGTCTTTCCAAAACTCCTGGTTTGAAATCTATCAGATATGTGACTGTAAAATTAAAGTAACTTTATTCACTGTCAAAGTCATGTCATAGCTGTGATTCTTGGATTCTTGGCACAAAATGCCTACAGCTTAAGATTGTTCCTCATTTCTGGCCTGCAGTGCACTTTTGCCAGCTTTTCTTCAGTTAGAAGAGTTCTAGCTTCTGGGATATAATGTCATATAGTTCACTGAAAGTCAACCGACATTTCAGAGGAACATGTTTCCTCAATCACTGGAGCCAAACAGTAAGCCAAACAAGAAGCCAGCATAAAGTATGCAGGAATCAGAGCAAGTGGCTTGTGGAAATGTGGGATTGCATAGAAACACAAGGGAACATGGAGGCCAACCTGTCAGTTCCTGCTGGCTCCTTCAGAGAACCAAAGTGAACCAACAGGAGACAAGATAAGAGTGATTAGGTATGCCCTTCTATACGAAGAGAAGTCATATGTGAGTTTTGTGGGTAGGGAACCGAGACGAATGGAAAAGAAGTAATGTGTGTGGGTTGTAGGCAGGTGGTTAGGGAGAAGAAAGCAGAAACATAAGAGGAAGGTCAGGAAAGGAAGGGAGGCCTAGGGCTGATGGTGTCCAGAGAGGTCAGGGTTGATGTCCTGATACGGGCAGTGTGCACAGACCTATATGGTCCAGTGTAGAACTCAACTAAAGAATCTTGTGGGGGAGAATTTTTATGATCTTTCAGGAAGAAGATGAGAGGCTTCCATGACTTAGACAGAAGCAATTAGCCGTGTTCATGAAAATGCAATGGAGATCAATCAAATGCCACCCTGATGACATGATCCAAGTATCTGGGAATTAGTGGAGAAGATTCTGTTGTTCTGGATCTAGAAGTGACATCCCAAGCTGCTGATATGCCCTGCCACAGATGACTTGTCAGAATGTCCTAGAATCCATATGCCGATGGTGCACCTTCAACCTGGTGCGCAGATCAACTGGCCTGTCTTTCCAACGCATGCTTGACCACACTCACAGGGGATACCGTATACTCTCAGTGTTCTCGGTCCCAAGTCATCTTTGTCCAGTATACCTTATGGTCCAAGCAGCCATCAAATCTCCTGTAAAGAGTTATGTTCTGGAGGAGAAGGCAGCAATTTCTTTGAGCCACCATGGTGAAAAGTATGTTCTGGTGGACACTTTCCAGGTGTTGAGTACCTCAGCCTGTGAGGACCATCAGGCCAGATGACAAAAGTGTCATCCACATAACACAACATGCAGAGAGGCTTATGGGCAGCCTGGTCAAGCACCACCTGCTCAAAGTCCTCCATGAAGAAGTTGGAGATAATAGGAGGCAGTGGTGAACTCATAGCCAGGCAGTTGGTCTGTATGAAGAGCTAGCTTCTGAAGTATGAGGTCAGGACAAGACAGAGCAGCATCAGGGTATTGTCCTCGAAATATTGACATAAGAGGCTCATGGCCTTCCTAACCAGCATTCTGGTGAAGAGTGATACCACATCATAGTTGACCATTGTGTCCTCAGGCCCAGCCCAGAGACAGCAAAATGTGCAGACGAAGTCCAATTTCTTTATATGATGTGGAGGTTTTCCAATATGACAGCCAAATATCACCGCCAGATATTTCGCCTAGCATTAGAAGGGAGTTCCAGTGGTGTTCACAATGGGCCTCTAGGGAACACCTTGCTTGTGGATCTTTGGGTGCCCATAAAGCCATGGAGGCCTGGAACCCTGTGGTTGAAATTACTGTCAGATCTCCTAAGAAAATTTGGATCTCTTCAGAAGAGTGGTCTCGCCCTCCGCAGATGCAGTATAGTCCTTCAACGTTCTGAAGGCTTGAACTTCCAGAAGGGCATCGACCTCCCAATTAAAGTTGGCGGTACTGAGTAAAAAGATCGTAAAGCCCTTGTCAGCAGGAAGGACAGTAAGCTCGTCACTGGCTTTCAGGGCCTGAAGGGACTTCTCTTCCACGACAGGTTGTCCTTGGGCTTATAAGAATCTATCAGGATCCTGATGGTTTCCTGTCCAACGTTCTCAGCAGTGTCCTCAAGCAAGACACCTATTGCTTTCTCCACCTCGCACAGGATGTTCTCAGCAGGCATAACCGCCAGGGATGCAGCACAGTACACACCTTTGCTCAAGACTGAGCAAGCTGCGTCCTCCAATGGTATGATGCTTAGATCGATGATAGCCTTCCTGTTATCGTCATTTTTCCCTTCAAAACCATGAGTCAGCGATCTGATGCGGGCAAGATGGCCTCATTCGTATCCCGGTATGGATAGGAATTCTCCTCTTGGTCATTACACATAGATTGACTTGGTGACCCACCCAGTACTCTATACAAATTTTATCCATGTTTTTTTTTCTCGGGCGTAAACCGGCCAAAGTGTGAAGCTAACCATTCACATCTCTCTAATGTCGAGGTCTACAGTTGAATGTCTGGAATTAGTCTGTGAGATGAGGTTTCAGTTACAAAATTAGAAGAGTAGAATTATGATGTCCTACTTTCATAACTGAATTCTCCAGCGTTACCCCCCAATGATTTTTTTTTTTGTCAAAAAGGAATGAATATCCCTCTCAAAAATCCCAAGCATTATAGTTTAATTTAATTTCTGTTCTTACTGGTTGCAGTTTAAAGAGCGCCATATTGCATCAGNGAACAAGATCAAAGACATATAATATATATTGTTTGCACTTGGGACGGAATTTGTGTCATTTATCGTGTAGAGTGCAACAGGATGCTTAAATATAATATTATAAAACGTGAATATAATGGTTACTTTTCTAAGTATATAACGGGAAGATTCCTTGATCAGCTCGCGACCGAAGAGCTTACTATCTTTAAACTTTCTTTAAGTTTATCTTTAACTCCAGACAAATGAACAGTAACACATACTCAGAAAATTGAATTCGAAACCATCTCATCAATACATAAGCAGTAGCAACATCCGAAACATGAACATCGAGATTTGGGCCTTAGAGTTCCTTCCGTCCTCCTACTGAACAAGCTGGCCCTCCAACGCAGATCTGGGCGTCCAGAGAGTATCTCCATGGTCTGCAGTCCGCAAGTGAACTATACCGACCGAGCGACCGCCGCTTGTTGGCGAAGTTAGTGCCAACTTCTGTGGATAGAGTGTGTCACAGAGAGTATCACAGGAACAAATCTTTTATCTAAGTAGGCCTGTATAACAAGATGCCATTCTCGCCACACGGTGCGTCCAGTTATTTATATTACTCCTACTTTATTATCTGCATTAAATTTTAACGGAATGTTTAACTTTCTTTAGAGAACGACCATTAAATAACCATTTCATCGATGAGCCAATTTAAAGCAGCAGTAGCCATATCAATTTGTATTCAGTGGGTGCCATTCCAATCTCGACTGGGAAACCGAGGGATTAAACACAGCCTTACGGTAATGAGGATGTGTTTAGTCCTTCCAAATGAATATTCGTCTAGTAAATTAACAAAGGATGCGGCAGCTTCCAAATCCAAATCCTTCTGCATTTATAATTCGCAATAAAATTTACGCCTCAGTCAACTGCTCTAACCTACAAACAAAACAAAAAACTCCGTGGCCTGTAGTCCGCAAGCGAACTATACCAACCGAGAGACCGCTGCTTTTCGGTGAAGTTAGTGACAACCTTAGCCGACAGAGTGTGTCGCGTGGCCAGTGCAATGGATCCCCACGGCCGTTAATCTCGGTTTATAACCCACAGAGTTGACAATGTCGTTAAGTGAGTTAGGAAGTAAACATGGTTCGCAAAAATCATAACACAGTCGGAAGTGTGGAGGGCAAAACTAAATGACAAGTAAGTAGTTAGCGTTTTGGGATATTTGCGCCCGCAGGAAACCTTAAAAAATATATAATCTGACTTATAAACTGCAAACACGGACAGTTAAGACCAAAAACAAAATTCTAATAGGATGTAAAATAAGGGTCTAAATTTGCGATAGACATAAACAGAAACTAGTACTCTGAATGGTCAATCAACGCAAGAATCAAAGATGGTGAGAGAAAAGACTTAACGCAATACGGGTGGAATTCGTACCAGCCACTACACAATCAAAATAATCAGAGACGTTCTTCCCTCAAGGCCGCCAGAAGTTGGGGGAAGAGATGTGGGGCTGGGTTGCACACATAACCTTTCACCCATATAATAAACCAGGACATCAAACCCGTCAGTTCGCCCCCTCAAATTTGGATACTACCAACGCATTTGTTTGCAGCAATATTATCAGTCACAGGAACTTAATATGTCTATAGGCTTCATACAAACAATGCATCTCTGCATAGTGTCTTTCCTTGGTCCAGGTAACTCGGCAACGTTTGCTATTTTAAGATTTGCGGGTAGAATGAAGGAACATACTGCACTGCCTATTGGATAATCGCCAGTCCTAATAAAATGCAATCTGCTATGGAATCCCACGAAATATATGCCGACACAACTGGGACA